GCTCCCCCTTGGCTAGCACAGCCATCGGCCTATCTCCTCCCCACCAGCCGTGGGCGAGCCAGCTGCAGAGCCGGCTCCAGCGGGAGGCAGCCGCCATGGCCACTCGGCATGTTTTCAACCGAGCCCGTTGGCCCATCTGCTAGCAGCAGGGCCTCCCCAGAAACAGCTGCAGCGCTGCCTCAGGTCCCCTCCCAGCGTCTCTCCTGGGAGGCCTGCGGGAGCCTTGGCCAGGGCGGTGGGCACGTCCTCTCTCCCTGGGGCGTGGGCCCTGCTTACGGTGGTCTGACGCGTTCCTGCAGTTCAGCGAGGAGACACCAGCCCAGCCCAGCTCCCCTGGGCCCAGCCCTGGTGGGAGGGGGAGGGCTAGCGGGGAAGTGGCAGAAATTCACCTTTCCATTCGAATCAGCAAAACGAACAGGACCAGGAAGACCAGCAGAGAAGTGGTGGGAAGAACCACGTGGATCCAGAACCAGAGCCCCTGCTTCTCTGGCTTGCCTGGAGTGTGGCACAGGGCTATCTCCTCTCCCCGCCTGCCACGCCTCGCCCGGCTCCCCGTCGCCTCTGGCTCCCCCTTGGCTAGCACAGCCATCGGCCTATCTCCTCTCCCCGCCTGCCACGCCTCGCCCGGCTCCCCGTCGCCTCTGGCTCCCCCTTGGCTAGCACAGCCATCGGCCTATCTCCTCTCCCCGCCTGCCACGCCTCGCCCGGCTCCCCGTCGCCTCTGGCTCCCCCTTGGCTAGCACAGCCATCGGCCTATCTCCTCTCCCCGCCTGCCACGCCTCGCCCGGCTCCCCGTCGCCTCTGGCTCCCCCTTGGCTAGCACAGCCATCGGCCTATCTCCTCTCCCCGCCTGCCACGCCTCGCCCGGCTCCCCGTCGCCTCTGGCTCCCCCTTGGCTAGCACAGCCATCGGCCTATCTCCTCTCCCCGCCTGCCACGCCTCGCCCGGCTCCCCGTCGCCTCTGGCTCCCCCTTGGCTAGCACAGCCATCGGCCTATCTCCTCTCCCCGCCTGCCACGCCTCGCCCGGCTCCCCGTCGCCTCTGGCTCCCCCTTGGCTAGCACAGCCATCGGCCTATCTCCTCTCCCCGCCTGCCACGCCTCGCCCGGCTCCCCGTCGCCTCTGGCTCCCCCTTGGCTAGCACAGCCATCGGCCTATCTCCTCTCCCCGCCTGCCACGCCTCGCCCGGCTCCCCGTCGCCTCTGGCTCCCCCTTGGCTAGCACAGCCATCGGCCTATCTCCTCTCCCCGCCTGCCACGCCTCGCCCGGCTCCCCGTCGCCTCTGGCTCCCCCTTGGCTAGCACAGCCATCGGCCTATCTCCTCTCCCCGCCTGCCACGCCTCGCCCGGCTCCCCGTCGCCTCTGGCTCCCCCTTGGCTAGCACAGCCATCGGCCTATCTCCTCTCCCCGCCTGCCACGCCTCGCCCGGCTCCCCGTCGCCTCTGGCTCCCCCTTGGCTAGCACAGCCATCGGCCTATCTCCTCTCCCCGCCTGCCACGCCTCGCCCGGCTCCCCGTCGCCTCTGGCTCCCCCTTGGCTAGCACAGCCATCGGCCTATCTCCTCTCCCCGCCTGCCACGCCTCGCCCGGCTCCCCGTCGCCTCTGGCTCCCCCTTGGCTAGCACAGCCATCGGCCTATCTCCTCTCCCCGCCTGCCACGCCTCGCCCGGCTCCCCGTCGCCTCTGGCTCCCCCTTGGCTAGCACAGCCATCGGCCTATCTCCTCTCCCCGCCTGCCACGCCTCGCCCGGCTCCCCGTCGCCTCTGGCTCCCCCTTGGCTAGCACAGCCATCGGCCTATCTCCTCTCCCCGCCTGCCACGCCTCGCCCGGCTCCCCGTCGCCTCTGGCTCCCCCTTGGCTAGCACAGCCATCGGCCTATCTCCTCTCCCCGCCTGCCACGCCTCGCCCGGCTCCCCGTCGCCTCTGGCTCCCCCTTGGCTAGCACAGCCATCGGCCTATCTCCTCTCCCCGCCTGCCACGCCTCGCCCGGCTCCCCGTCGCCTCTGGCTCCCCCTTGGCTAGCACAGCCATCGGCCTATCTCCTCTCCCCGCCTGCCACGCCTCGCCCGGCTCCCCGTCGCCTCTGGCTCCCCCTTGGCTAGCACAGCCATCGGCCTATCTCCTCTCCCCGCCTGCCACGCCTCGCCCGGCTCCCCGTCGCCTCTGGCTCCCCCTTGGCTAGCACAGCCATCGGCCTATCTCCTCTCCCCGCCTGCCACGCCTCGCCCGGCTCCCCGTCGCCTCTGGCTCCCCCTTGGCTAGCACAGCCATCGGCCTATCTCCTCTCCCCGCCTGCCACGCCTCGCCCGGCTCCCCGTCGCCTCTGGCTCCCCCTTGGCTAGCACAGCCATCGGCCTATCTCCTCTCCCCGCCTGCCACGCCTCGCCCGGCTCCCCGTCGCCTCTGGCTCCCCCTTGGCTAGCACAGCCATCGGCCTATCTCCTCTCCCCGCCTGCCACGCCTCGCCCGGCTCCCCGTCGCCTCTGGCTCCCCCTTGGCTAGCACAGCCATCGGCCTATCTCCTCTCCCCGCCTGCCACGCCTCGCCCGGCTCCCCGTCGCCTCTGGCTCCCCCTTGGCTAGCACAGCCATCGGCCTATCTCCTCTCCCCGCCTGCCACGCCTCGCCCGGCTCCCCGTCGCCTCTGGCTCCCCCTTGGCTAGCACAGCCATCGGCCTATCTCCTCTCCCCGCCTGCCACGCCTCGCCCGGCTCCCCGTCGCCTCTGGCTCCCCCTTGGCTAGCACAGCCATCGGCCTATCTCCTCTCCCCGCCTGCCACGCCTCGCCCGGCTCCCCGTCGCCTCTGGCTCCCCCTTGGCTAGCACAGCCATCGGCCTATCTCCTCTCCCCGCCTGCCACGCCTCGCCCGGCTCCCCGTCGCCTCTGGCTCCCCCTTGGCTAGCACAGCCATCGGCCTATCTCCTCTCCCCGCCTGCCACGCCTCGCCCGGCTCCCCGTCGCCTCTGGCTCCCCCTTGGCTAGCACAGCCATCGGCCTATCTCCTCTCCCCGCCTGCCACGCCTCGCCCGGCTCCCCGTCGCCTCTGGCTCCCCCTTGGCTAGCACAGCCATCGGCCTATCTCCTCTCCCCGCCTGCCACGCCTCGCCCGGCTCCCCGTCGCCTCTGGCTCCCCCTTGGCTAGCACAGCCATCGGCCTATCTCCTCTCCCCGCCTGCCACGCCTCGCCCGGCTCCCCGTCGCCTCTGGCTCCCCCTTGGCTAGCACAGCCATCGGCCTATCTCCTCTCCCCGCCTGCCACGCCTCGCCCGGCTCCCCGTCGCCTCTGGCTCCCCCTTGGCTAGCACAGCCATCGGCCTATCTCCTCTCCCCGCCTGCCACGCCTCGCCCGGCTCCCCGTCGCCTCTGGCTCCCCCTTGGCTAGCACAGCCATCGGCCTATCTCCTCTCCCCGCCTGCCACGCCTCGCCCGGCTCCCCGTCGCCTCTGGCTCCCCCTTGGCTAGCACAGCCATCGGCCTATCTCCTCTCCCCGCCTGCCACGCCTCGCCCGGCTCCCCGTCGCCTCTGGCTCCCCCTTGGCTAGCACAGCCATCGGCCTATCTCCTCTCCCCGCCTGCCACGCCTCGCCCGGCTCCCCGTCGCCTCTGGCTCCCCCTTGGCTAGCACAGCCATCGGCCTATCTCCTCTCCCCGCCTGCCACGCCTCGCCCGGCTCCCCGTCGCCTCTGGCTCCCCCTTGGCTAGCACAGCCATCGGCCTATCTCCTCTCCCCGCCTGCCACGCCTCGCCCGGCTCCCCGTCGCCTCTGGCTCCCCCTTGGCTAGCACAGCCATCGGCCTATCTCCTCTCCCCGCCTGCCACGCCTCGCCCGGCTCCCCGTCGCCTCTGGCTCCCCCTTGGCTAGCACAGCCATCGGCCTATCTCCTCTCCCCGCCTGCCACGCCTCGCCCGGCTCCCCGTCGCCTCTGGCTCCCCCTTGGCTAGCACAGCCATCGGCCTATCTCCTCTCCCCGCCTGCCACGCCTCGCCCGGCTCCCCGTCGCCTCTGGCTCCCCCTTGGCTAGCACAGCCATCGGCCTATCTCCTCTCCCCGCCTGCCACGCCTCGCCCGGCTCCCCGTCGCCTCTGGCTCCCCCTTGGCTAGCACAGCCATCGGCCTATCTCCTCTCCCCGCCTGCCACGCCTCGCCCGGCTCCCCGTCGCCTCTGGCTCCCCCTTGGCTAGCACAGCCATCGGCCTATCTCCTCTCCCCGCCTGCCACGCCTCGCCCGGCTCCCCGTCGCCTCTGGCTCCCCCTTGGCTAGCACAGCCATCGGCCTATCTCCTCTCCCCGCCTGCCACGCCTCGCCCGGCTCCCCGTCGCCTCTGGCTCCCCCTTGGCTAGCACAGCCATCGGCCTATCTCCTCTCCCCGCCTGCCACGCCTCGCCCGGCTCCCCGTCGCCTCTGGCTCCCCCTTGGCTAGCACAGCCATCGGCCTATCTCCTCTCCCCGCCTGCCACGCCTCGCCCGGCTCCCCGTCGCCTCTGGCTCCCCCTTGGCTAGCACAGCCATCGGCCTATCTCCTCTCCCCGCCTGCCACGCCTCGCCCGGCTCCCCGTCGCCTCTGGCTCCCCCTTGGCTAGCACAGCCATCGGCCTATCTCCTCTCCCCGCCTGCCACGCCTCGCCCGGCTCCCCGTCGCCTCTGGCTCCCCCTTGGCTAGCACAGCCATCGGCCTATCTCCTCTCCCCGCCTGCCACGCCTCGCCCGGCTCCCCGTCGCCTCTGGCTCCCCCTTGGCTAGCACAGCCATCGGCCTATCTCCTCCCCACCAGCCGTGGGCGAGCCAGCTGCAGAGCCGGCTCCAGCGGGAGGCAGCCGCCATGGCCACTCGGCATGTTTTCAACCGAGCCCGTTGGCCCATCTGCTAGCAGCAGGGCCTCCCCAGAAACAGCTGCAGCGCTGCCTCAGGTCCCCTCCCAGCGTCTCTCCTGGGAGGCCTGCGGGAGCCTTGGCCAGGGCGGTGGGCACGTCCTCTCTCCCTGGGGCGTGGGCCCTGCTTACGGTGGTCTGACGCGTTCCTGCCCCACGCCGCGGGCAGGCTCCACTCGCTCCACAGCCGGGTGCTGCCGCAGTACTGGCTGATCTTGCTCCTCACGTAGAACGTGTAATGCTTCTCGAAGTCCACGCTGGGCAAGGAGAAGATCTCGTCTCTGACCACGTGCTCCTGGGGCAGACAGAAGGGCAGCACCACACACCTACGTGAGGTGTGGGCTCCCTCGGCTGGGCTCAGCACCATGAAAGCGGATCCCAGAGCTGGGCTCAGCTGCTGTCTCCCTCCCTTTCCCTGCCCACGCCTGTTCTGGCGCACCTGGCCCCTCGCTCTGCCTGCCCGGCACCCAGTTCGGGGCTGGCAGAGGGGGCCCGCGGGCAGTGCAGAGAACGGGGCTGCGGTGGGAGGAGCATGGGCCGGGGCCTGCAGCCCGAGGGGCCTTTGGGTCGGGAGAAGGCCCAGTGGAAGCGAGGGGAGGCCTGTGGTGCGGGGAAGCAGCAGCCCATGGGGCCCGGGCGCGAGCCCGCGGGGGGCTACAGGCTGCCCGTACCGTCCAGTCAGTGTCCTTGTTGCTCTTGTATCGGACGGTGTGTTCTAGGCAGGCAGGCTTGTGGTACACGGAGGCCCAGGTCAGCTGCAGCTGGTTGTTGCTCGTGTTGCAGATGCTCAGGTTCGCTGGCGCAGCGGGTTTCACTGCAAGAGACAGGGCCTGGCT